TATTTTGTTGGAAAATTAGCAATTTTTACACTGCCATAAAGACTTTCATGTCACAGCTTACAAAGTTGATTTCACATACTTTGGACAGTTTGTGTTATGGAATTATTTTTGTGATGGTTACTTTGTAACATCAATGAGGTGCTTCTACACTGAGCGGGGATTACTAGGTGGCACCCCACCCTCCTCAACTCTGGCTGCCTCCGCCTTTGCTTCAATGATACTCTTCTCCAGGGCCCTCCCAGTCCCATGGCTGAGGGATGAAAGGGACGATCTGACACACCCATCTCAGAGCCCGGAGCCCACCCATTCAGCCCACGGCAGTAATCATGGAGCAGTGAGAGTCACCAGCTTAGAATTTAAGCTGCCCAAATAACTGCATTGTTCCCGTTACCTTGCCTTGCTGCCCACCTCTCACACCAGCCTCCTGAACATTGGCCTCACCTGATGCCAAGGAAGCTGGGGGCCTCCCCTGGGGCACAGGCTCTGCTCTCTCTCCGAAGGCTGTCCATGTGGGCCAGGGAGATGACAGTGGTTGAGACATACCAGGGCAGCCCAAGCACTGATGTGAGCAACATCAGCATCGCCACACAGAAGAGGTCCAGGTGGAAGCCAGCTCCCTTCTGCAGGTAGGAGTGGGCAATGAGGATAAAGCTAGCCTAGCCCTCTGGGGTGGGAAAGGGGGAGCCTGGAACCAACCCTGGAGCTTCTGTCCCTTGGTCCAGGGGCCCAGGGTCTTACCCAGCAGGCCTTACCCTCAGTCTGTATTCGATACGGTTGAGAATGACTGCTGTGATCTGCTGGTCCATGAAGATGAGGATAGACAGCAGCAGGGCAGGCAGGGCGGCTGCCACACTCAGCCACCAGGGGTTGGCTCCAAAAGGTGACACCAGCCAGCCACGCCCAGGGAGTGTGGGCTGGGGGAGGGCATTCCAGGGACAGGCTGAAGAGGGTCTCCCAAGAGCACCTCACCTGCACAGCCTAGCCTTGACATTCTTCCTCAACCCCCCTACCACAACCCCTCCCCCAAGATCCTGGGTGCTATGTGAGAGCAGTGTGTGTGCTGTGCTGTTCTCAGCTGATTCAAAGCATCCCAGTGCCTTAAAAGAGGGCAGATGGAGGGGGATGGTTGAGCCAGGGGCCCTGGACTTTGGTTCTCAGGGCCCCTCTTTCCCTTCAAGAGGAGGAGGTGGTTGGTGAGGCCTGCCCATACTTCTAAGTGTACAGAGCTCTCCTTCGTAGGCACCAGCCCCCTCAGCATTAAGGGTGGGGCAACTCAGGCTCAGACCTGCCCCAATCTGGAGCAGGGGCAGGGCTGGGTGTGTCTGCGTCTGCTCTGATTACTAGCGTCTGTGGGGGGGAGGGGGCCCCAGTTGCTGTCTCAGGTTCTGAGCCCCTGAGGCTCCCTCAGTTGGAGTCCCCCCTGCTGTTCGGTCCTGGGGGAAGCTGGAGGGGAAGTGTCAAAATGCACAGGCAAAGCCTAGGTGCCAAGTCAGTGCCAAGCCTTGTCCTGTGCACTGGCATGCCCTCGGAGGGAGCTCCAGCTTTACTGGATCACGGCAGGCAACCGGGGGTCAAAGAAGAGAGTGGGAAGTAGTGGAAGGGGTAGGGCCATGCCACGGGCAGGGAGAGCCTGTGACAGTTGTTAACATTTAGTGAGGTCTTGGTATGTGCCAGCTCTGTCACTGTGATAAGTGCTTTACACGATGGTCTCTAAACCTCAAAAAAAACCTGTGGGGTAGGACCTATTGTTATTTATGATTTCCATTTTATAGACGAGTAAATTGAGGATCAAAAATGTGGGTTAACTTGCCTAAGATCAGACATCTAGGAAGTGGCAGAACTGGAACTCAAACTCGGGGCTGGCTGACCAGAACCCCATCCTCTTAACTGCACACCTATAATAATAGCTACCGAACATTCTGTGCTCACTGTGTGTCTGGAGCAGCACCTCATTCATCCTCACTACAAGCCTGTGAGGCCATTATATTTCTATTTTATGAGTGAGGAAATGGAAGCTTGGAGGAGCAGAAGGGTGGGATCTATGCCTCTTCCTCCTCCAGGGTCTGCTGGCCCTGCTTGCCCCTCGCTCAGCTCTCACCTTGAATTCTCTTGGCACCATGAGCTTCGGCGTGGCTAGGCCCAGGAAGGCATCAAGGCCACAGCCCAGCAGGATGGCCAGGACTGAGGAGAAGTCGCTGAGCACCTTGCGCATCTGGCCACACAGTGGACACTCAGTCAGGTTCAGGCCTGCCACCCCTCTCCTTCTGCACCCCTTCCCATTCGCAGACAGGTCCCAAGGCCAAGAGCTACCGTAGTTCTCTCCCACATAAAGAGAGGTGACACTCACCATGGAGGGGAAGAAGCGGCTTGTCTTTACATGCTTCAGGGCCATGGCAAAGAGGAAAGAGGTGAGGAAGAGGAGGAGGGAGAAGAGGGCGATGTCTGGGACTGTGTGACAGCCCGGGCCACGTGGGCGGCCTCCCCGCCGGGCACACTCAGGTGGAGGTAGCAGGGATGCATTGACCAGGCCTAGGTCCTGTATGGACGGACGGTCAGGGATGAGGTTATGGGTGGCAGAAGAAACATCTACTGACACCCACTGAAATACCAAGGGCCCAGGACAGTGGGTCTCAAGCCATAGCAAATAGCTGGGCCTCAGTGACCTATGCGGGTTTCTCAGCCTACTGGATAGGAAGAGCCAGGAACCTCTGACTTCTTTGGCCTCCACCCTTTCTTTCCCAGGCCCTCTCAGGAACAGGCTCTCACCATGCTTATGATGTCATCGCTGTCTTTTGGCTTTGTCCTTATCCACTGAGACTCATTTCCTGGGAAGCAGAGAAGAATTTGGGTGTATGCCCCTCTCCTGGGAGCCTTCTCCAGCCCCTCGGGAGTCTCATCTAATCTCATGGATCCAACTGAACCAGAGCTCTTCATTCTAACTCATCTGCCTGCTGATTCCAATCGCGGCCATCTCTGTGCTCCTCAGGACACTGCCTCGTGCCCTCGCCCCTTCAAACTCCTTACCTATCTGTATCCCTGGTGCATAGCACAGGACTGGCCAGAACAGATGCCAGCAAATGGCTGCTCAATGGATGAGCACACAAACCTGTGGGTTTCTGCCAGGGTCAGAACTAGTCTTGTTCATGCCTAGCACAGAGTTAGGCACTTTTGAGAGGACACCTCTTCCCCAGTTCTGGAGTTTCCTTTCATGTGGAGGGATAAGTGCAAGTGTAATCCTCTGAACGTCTCTCCACCCGGCAGTCACTCAGACCCAGGGGAAGAGCAGCGATGTATTTGATTGGTGAGTTTCGGAGAAGCTGGGCATGCCTGGCCCTGCCCCTGCCTCCCCCTCTCACAGGAGTAAGCTGTCTGCACTGTGCGTGCACTTAACTCTTCTCCTCTGGGGCAAGACAGTCCTTGTCCAGTGCAGCCATGACGGGGTGGGTAAGTCCACCTAATTTTGGTTTCATCATTAGGAAGTCTATTCACCCATGGATATAACCATATTCTTCTATCAGTATTGTCAGAAATAAAGATGATGTTGGGCCTGCTCTGTTGACTTATTTTTCAGCTGGTTCAGAATCAGAGTGGGGAAGAGCACTGTTGGTTTTTGGATAAGCACGCAGCATTTTGCTGAACGTAACCATGGGGGCCAGCAAAGAGACACCCCTCTCCCTCTCTATCCTCCCTCATCTTGCTAAGCTCTCTAGTTCCCTCACCCACCTCCAGAGTCTGGGTACTGGCAGAAGCATCCATAGGCGGGAGAGCCAGGCCCCTGGATGGGATAGGCACGGGTCAAGCTCAGCATTTTGCTCACGGCATCGTAGATGAAGATGAGGCTGATCAGGGCACAGAAGCCTTCTTCGGTGAAGCGGGTAAAGTAGCGTACCAGCACGCTGGCCTCCGTGGCCACCAGCACCAGGCAAAAGGTGGCTACCCAGATGCCCACCCACAGGCGGAAGGGCAGGTAGTCCAGGCTGTAATCTCTGGGGGGAGGGGGGGGAGGGGGAGAGAGGGAGGAGGTAAGAGACAGGCAGGGCTTGCCTTAACCCAGGTCAGGTGCCCCTAGAGCCAGACAGTTCCACCCTCCCCTATTGACCCGGCCAGGTCCAGGCTGAGGATGTGAGTAATGAGGGTCTGGTGAAGTGAGGGAGTCCTACCTGCTGAAGGAGAAGAGCAGGCGTTCAAAAACCAGCACTGGTCCTGTGCTGCTGAGGATGGTGAGGGGCTGGCCGGCCATCAGGCAGAAGGCAGCTCCAGCCACTGCCGTGCCCAGGAAACTTTCCAGCACCCCCTAGAAATCGACAGGGGACCCTGTCAGCACAGGACCCTGGAGTCCTCAGCACAGGAACCCAAGCTTCCTGGGAGCCTCCTCAGTCCACCCATAGTCCCAGGGAAGAACCAAGGGCATGGCTGGAGGAGCACGAAAGCTTGTGCCTGCACCCCCTCACACCTCCCCACCCACCTGAGCACCGTCGGTGGCTTCTCCCAGCAGCCCCCCGAAAGTGATGGCGTTAGTGATGGTGGCCAGGTAAATGTAGAGCACAGCCGAGAAGCACTGGGGGTGCAGGGCGTCCAAGAAGTCGCTGGGGTACCACGAGGCCTTCCGGCGCACGTCCTGGACAAGGCCCCCAAACAGCCTCCCGCCCGTGGATCGTCAATGATCCAGGTTCCCACAACCCCACGTCTCTACCCCACAACTGTCCCTAGTGGCCTGGTCGTCCCCTCCCAGTACTCTGATCCTTGCTCCCACCGCAGCTCGCCTCACCTGCCGGTCCGCCGCAACTCCGGGCTGGGCGCGTGCGGCGGGTGGCCGTGCTTGTCCTCAGCCGGAGCCCCACGCCGGGCTGAAAGGTCCTTGACCTCCCGCATTTGCGAGGGAAGCCTGAGAAGGGGAACCTTGGTTGACCGAGGATATCCAACCAGTCGGCGACTGGGCGCCAACTTCATTGCGCCCTGCCCCCTGGCGGCTGTTCGTGTCTGTGCCGACGGACTCCAAATTCAAAAGTAAGTCCCTATCCTTTTCCTGGGAGCCCCTCCCCTCAACAGTGGAACTGGACCCGAGGTTGTGAGGTAGGATCTACCGGTATAAGGGACGATGGCCCCAGATACCTTTTATGCTGCGAGGGCAGACATTTAGGCGGGGGCATCCGGGCTGTCGGGTCCCACCGATGTGGAGGGAGCACTATCACGTCCTCTAGGAAAGCATCCAGGGCTGCCAGAAGGTCGTGAAGGTTGCTGGCCCGACGAGCTGACCACTGAAATTGCTGGGAATAGAGGCACAGAGGGGCAATACATGCAAATCTGAACTCTTACATGCATTTTCACAGCCTCAAAACTAGGCACACGTGAGTCACGTAGGCAGACAAGTCATTTAAGCATTCATTCATTAATGCATGCATTCAGTATCTACCGGGTGCTCACTGTGTGCCCGCACTGGGCTAGGTAAGGGGACTACAGTAGTAGCCAAGGAAATTTCAGTCCTCCCGCTCACAGACTCTCATGCTCAAAGCCACACTCTGCCTCACTGCTGTACTCAGTCACACACACAGAGCCCACACACACATGCACACTCACTAACATGAGCCTATGTGTGCATGTGTGTGCATGCAGGGACACACACACACACACACACACACACACACACACACACACACCTGCTCAGCTCACCGGGTCACTGAGGAGGATGGCCACTGCCCGGCCCATTTCATGGTAGCTCCTTCCCAGTGTGGGGGGACCAAGGAAGAGGCAGAAAAATCTGAGGAAGGAACCAAGCCCCAGAGAGGGTCACAGGCTGCTATTCCATAGGGCAGCCATGACCTCTGACCTCCCTACCAGCCCCCATAGACACACACTCATGCACACTTACTTTGCAGCCCTGACCACTGTCTCCTCCCCAGACCCCTGAGCACCATCCCCCACACACCCTAAGAAAACTGGGCCAGAGACTTCCTAATCCTTTCCCCAGTCAAGTCTCTTCTGAATCCCTGACTCCCACTCAGCAGCGTCACCTGCTGGGAAGGGGCACCTCAATAAGGGACCCCAGCACCACTGGATCCTGCAGCCGCACAAAGGCCCCCAATGGCTGTGCCAGGAAGCCCAGCTCTCCTGCCAGTACAGCCCCCGCCTCAGCCCCTGGAGGCAGCTTCTGTCTCAGGGGGTTCTGACACTGGATGGGGGTTCAAGGAGACACAGAGATGAGAGGTTATTTGGGGAAGGGGATGATGGCAGGATATTGACTGATGAGCAGACCAGTGAAGGGTGGGTTCTCTGTTAATCCCTCACGCCTCTCCCAGCCCTGCCCAGGGAAGGGTCACAAACCTGTTCCTTCAGGGGGGCTTCCTCATCGTGAAAAGCCTGTCTTGGATCGGCAGACCCTTTAAAAACAGGATTTTGCAGTGATTAAGAGCACAGGCTTTTGGGAATGGATCCATCAGGGCTCCCTGACTAGCTTTGCCACTGACAACCTGTGAAACTGGAGCACACCCACCTCTCCCCTGAGCCTCAGTTTCCTCGTCACTAAAATGGGGATAATTGTGGTGCTACTTCACAGGGTGCTTATAAAGATGAAATGAGACACGCTTGCAAAGCTCCCAGCACAGTGCCTATCAAGAACACCCCTTCACAGAGCTCTGGCTGTTGCGATTCTAGCCTCTGTCTTCCTCTCCCCTCACTCTTACCCCGATTTCCGCTTGCCCATGGGTCCTGGGTTGAGGTTTGAGCTGAGGCCACTCCTGGTCCATGAAGGTGCAGGGGAGACCTGGGACCCTCCCACCCCAGGGATTTTGGTCCTAGCTCAGGGAGGAGCCTCTTACTCCAACAGGGCCTGGTGCTTGTGGTCTGGATGAGGTGCTGAGGTCTCTGCAGCAACAAGGACTGTAGCTGCCCTCTCAGCTCCAGGCTCAGCGACTCCAGTCTGGTCACCTGCTCTGGAGAACAAAGGTGGAGCTCCAACCCTTTCCTGAGAGCTCCGTGCCCCCTAACTCTTCCCCTGTTCCCTCTGCCCAGGTCCCTTTCCCTTCTGGGAGTCTCAGGGAATGCAGGGGCCTGTGAACTTGCTCCTCCATTCTGTTTTCCCACCTGCCCCCTATAACAGGGATGGATAATCCCTAAGGTGTGTATGGTGGGCTCTGGAAAACTCCAAGACTTTGGGGGAAAATCTTATGGAAAGGGTGGCATGGCTGCCCAGGCCCTCCCTACAAAGGCTCCCAACATACCCACGAGCTCCAGGAGGCTCTGAGCTGGGCAGTCCAGCAGGACCAGGCCCTCGGCCAGTAGACTGCGGAGCTGCTGCAGGCTGGGCAGTGCCAGGGTGGGCACATGGGGGGCACTCCACCTGCCCGCGCCCACCTCCAGCTTCTCTTCAAACAGCACCCACCTGTGGTAGAGAGGGGTAGACAGTGTTATTGGGGGCATCACTCCCAGGTCCAGGAGTGGAAACACAGGAGAACCAGGGAAGGATGGACAATGGGGGGTGGGATTCACGGGTCCAGTGGCACATAATGTGCCCCTCCCCGGGCAGTCACCCCTCATCCTGGGTCTTGGGGATCTCAAAACTAGACTTCAGAGAAGGCTGAGTATCATGGAGGTGGGAGGCCTGAAAAGGGATACAGAGAGGAACTCCTGATGGGGGGGTAAGAATACCCCACCACAGGAAAAGCTGGTGTCATGGAGGAGGCCCCAGCAGCAGAGGGGAAGGACCCCATAAAACTGGCCTGGGGCTCACTCACCTGCCTGTCTCTCTCCATTTTAGCGCCTCGGGCCAGCCCAGCAGCTCATTCAGCTGAATGAAGAGCAGAGGGTCCTTGGGTACCCCCAGTTCCCTGCTGTCAGTGTCTGAGGAGCCATCAGAGCTGGGGCCAGAGCCAGGACCACTGACCAGCTCTCCTGTGGGCACATTTTCATAAGCACTGGAGACATCAAACTCCTCCTGGCCTGGCAGCTTCATCTTGGTGAGGCTTGCTCAGCCTTTTGGGATCAGTGCAGTCCTAGGTTCTGAGGCCAGAGGTCCTCAGGCTGGTGCATTTATAATGCACCCTCCCCCACCCCAACACAACACAGCAAGCACAACACAAACAGCAAGGCCTGCTGACTCCAGAACCAACCGGGTCACCTCCTCCCCTGCTTGCTTTCCCCATCCCCCACTGGCCTGAGAGTGTTTGTAAGGCTAGCCCCAACTTTTCCAGGCTCTCCAGAAATGCCCAACCTGGGGCCAGAATGTTGTGTGCGTTTTCTGTGGGGTCAGGTCTGACCTCACTGTGTTTTGTGTAAATAAACAGGAGTAAATTGTTGGCCTGGGTCTGAGGAATGACACCCTCAGATTATTCTGCCCCCTACTCTGTATCAAATGCAAACACCAAACACCCAGGACTGTTTTGGGTGTCACCAACACACCCTGAGGGCACTCAGCTGCCGGACAAACAGAGACCTAATAAATAACTGGGTCCATGGATGCCAGGCAGGGTAAGAGAGACAGCAGGCAGAGCCCCTGCCCATTAAATGGGCTAATGATGGAAAGTGGAGGCAGCTCGTGGAGAACACAATGGCTGAGTCTTACATTACTTTGTCCAACAACAGTTGGAAACTCCCCTGGTTTCTGCCTCTCTAACTCAGCCACTCAAGTGAGGATGAAAAAACCAGCTAAGGGGTATGTATTTTTGTGTGTGGAGGAGCTCCTGGAGCTAAATGAGCAAAGCAGAGTCTGTCCTAGTAGCAAGTCCGGTTGGCTTTCCCTTCAAACTATACCCAGCACCCAACCACATTGCCCAAACTACAACACTGCTACCCTGATCCAAGTCACCATCATTTCTCACCTGAATTATTTCAATAGCTTTCTAATCTCTTGCAATGACCTCCCTGCTTCCACTCTTTCTTCCTTGCCCAAAGTCCGTTTTCCACACAGCAGCCACAGGGGTCCTTTTAAAGGGCAATTGAGCCACATGACTCTTATGCTCAAAACTCACCCAACTCCTAGAAGAACAAATAAACTCTGTCAT